ACATACCAATGATTCTATTTAATGAAAATGAACTAAATGCTCCAGTTAAAGCGAGGCATTATAAAACTGAATGAAAAAGCCTAGACTCACTGGGCCCTGCCTAAAAGAAACATTAGATACAAAGAGACAGATAAAAGGACAGAAAAGGTGTATTATGCAAAAATTGGTAAGACCAAAATCAGGCAATGGTAACCTTAAGACAGGTAATATTTTCAGCAATAAAGATCATTTCTAAGAAATAAATGCCAATTCATCAAGAATGCACAACAATTCTAAAAGTGCATGTAACTAGAAATCAAGTTTATCAAGAGCTTTAATTACAAGATCTACATACAAAAAGCAATTCTATTCTTATATTCTGGTAATGACGTACAAACCAAAACTGGAAGAAATATTACATTTACAGTAGCTAACAACATGTATTTAGGTTAAAACTAATAAAATATGTACAAGCTCTGTATGTTAAGAACTAAAAAATAATTTATAAAAGAGATCAAAGAAGATTTTAAAAGTGATATATGATTATAAACTAGAAAACTCAATAGTATAAAGATGTCAATTTTCCCCAAACTAGTCTACAAATTTAATAGAATCTGAACAAAAATCTCACAGGGTTATTTCATAAATCTAGAAAAGCTGACTCATTTATATAATTATTTCTTTAAGTATAGAGAAATGCAATAATAAGTATAGAGAAATACAAGCAAACTACAATACTAAAAATTTGGCCAATCACACCAGTTGACTTTAAGACTTAACTACAGTGTGATCTGTCAGTCTGTCATACTGTGGTGGCTCTCCTACTACTGAAGAGGATAAAATTGATGCATGGGACCCTCTAAATATTAAATCCATATGTGCATCAAAAACTTTTTCCTACAGGTAAAAATAGAACTTACAGACATGGAAGAAATATTTGGTAATACCATCTCAGACAAGAGTTTTATAACGAAAGTTTACAGAATATTCCTGGGACTCCACAGGAAAAAGATTGATAACCCAATTACAAAATGGGCAAAAGACATGGAAAGAATTTTCACAGAGGAAGATATCTGAATGGCAAACAGACACATGAAGAAATGCTCCAAATCACTGGCAATAAGAGAGATGCTAATCAAAAACCACAATGAGGTACCATCTCCCTCCAACAGTGGAAAAGTTTAACAGGGCAGCACGTAATAAATGTTGGAGAGGATGTGGCAAGAAAGGAACTCTTATACATTGTTAGTGGGATTGTCAAATAGTACAAACATTCTGGAAGGCAGTTTGGCACTTCCTCAAAAAGCTGGAAACAGACATTCCATATGACACATTCCACTACTTAGAATATACCCTGAGAAAACAAGAACTGAAGCACAAACTGATATATGTACACCAATGTTCATAGTAGTATTATTCACCATCACAAGAACATGGAAACAGGCCAAATGGCCAGCCACAAACGAATGGACTGAGAATGGTACATTCACACAATGTAATACTACGCAGCACACAGGAGCAATGATTTTATAAGTTATTATCTAACTTGGGAGGGACTGAAGAGCATTATGCTGAGTG